GCGTTATTCATGCTGGGCCACTGCCAGGCCACGTCGCTTGTAGAAATCTGTCTGAGATCCTTCCGTTCCTCTCCCACCTTGATTAATGCCAACAGCTCTGTGCCACTTTGTTGCAACAACTTCCCCCTTGCCCCATCCAAGACATTAGGGAATGTATTAGCCAGCATGGGACCTGGAAGGGTACCTGGACACCCTGCTGGTATTTTGCTCAGATTTCACCATGGATGCCACTCCCTGTTCTGCTCTAGTCTGAGTCCAGGTTTTTGTTCTTTCCTTCTGTTTTGTAAATATTCTGTTTCTTCCCCCACAAATGTTCAGCCTCCCTTATGTGCAGGATCTTCTCAAAAGGCTCTTAAAACTCCATGCACGCTAATCAATTGGTGTTCTTTTATATACTTATGGATGTTTTCAAATAAAGTCAAAGAAATGCATGAGAACTTTTTTCCACTGCTGAAATAAGGCTGCTTAATCCTTGCCATATCTAGGCTTTCCAGCTATTTTGTTATTCTTTCAGCAAATTCACCAATTAAAGTTGCCGAGTACAATTTGTAGGCCACTAATAACCCTAATCATTTCTAAGTATATCCACTGTTTTGATGTATTTTATGACAGAAGCTATTTTTAACAAAAGCTCTTGCATTTCTGTTACACCTCACCTACCTTATACTTAGGTTTCTTTGGAAGTGCTGTATGCAAGCACACATGCTTGGGGATTTTATTTTGTTCTAAATTATCAGGTTTTTTTCTGCCTTCTGTCTCTTTGGTCTCCAAGTCTTGCCTGAATGGCAGGCAACAGCAGCAGGGGAAATTGCTCAGATCCTACCTGACAGGGAGCAGGGGTGCTGCGGGGAGCAAACCCAGCCCTGGCTACTCACGCCGCAGGCTTTGCAGACCAGGTACAACACAACAGTGTGCCATGCGCCGAGCACGACAATGCTGCAGGGCCAGTCACTTTAAAAAAAGCTCAGCAAGAGGAATCAGCGCAGCATGCTTCTTGCGTAATAGGTTGGTGGTTTGCACATTTGGCTGAAGAGAGGAGGTTGTTCCCGTTCCAGGACTCTGCTAGCTCTTAATAGTCCATATCTTCATCCTGTTCTTTTCCAGTCAAAAAAGCGTAAGCTGTTCAGGGAATACGGACTGGGATTCTGTCCCCTTGTTCCCATGAACTTACCATCAGTGCTAGGCTACAAAACTCCAGTTTCTTTTGTTTACTCTGTTCCTGGGCTTCACTTCCTTATCACTACTGGCACACTGACAAGGGTTGGTTTTTCCTAATGAGACCATTTTCTTGAAAAGTGAAATATGTGAAAAAGATTGAGAGGGGTCAAAAACCTTTCTGCATCACAGGCAAATGCTGTAGCACTAATGCAGGTTCACAGAGGGTTGTTTGTAGACCCATGCCTCATGCTAAATAAAAATAATGAGTCCCATTAGATGATTGCCCACAGTATGAGTGTCTGCTCTCAATCCCAGGGACTTCCCACTGCATAGCTGTGGACAGCTGTCCTCTTGGGAAAGGTTAATTTGCTTTCCAGGTAACACCATCCCCAAGCTGCTGAAGCGATCCCTGAGAACTGAGTCCTCTGTTATGATCCTGCTAGGCTCATGTGCCTACTATCTGGCAAGTCTAGTTTTGGGGTACCTAAAATGACTCTTTTTTTTGCATAGAGGAAAAAATAGGAGCATGCAGCCTGTCAAAATGGTATGCAGGTGCTCAAAACCTCACATGAATTGCAGACAGCAACCCCAACTGACTATTTCCCATCACTGCCTAATCTTGTGAGCACCTCCCTACTGAACCTGAAAGCTCCTCGGGCATTTAACTTTATTCACCCACACATGTTCAGGAAGATAGGCACTTATCTCTTGCCTCAAGTTCTACTGCAATCCAGCTTAGGAACAGAGGCATTTAAATCCCTTTCAGAAGCCTGAAAAATTAGCAGCAGTCAGAATTATGTCTCACGTCTTCCGGTGCGGGCCACCAGCTTTGACGTACGTGCGAAATGCAAAGAGCACGTCTCAGAGTGAGCAAGGAAGTGGAATTCTGGATGTCACCACCTGAGAGGGACTGATGAGACACCGCTTGCCTCTCGAGAGGCTGCCTCACTGTTATGCCACGCTCAGGCAGAAAGCACGGCCAGCCGCTCCCACTGAACCTGCACCTCTGTGTGGTGAATACAGAGAGTCAATGACTCGTTCTCATCTCAAAGGCAGCCAAACTCATGTACCTGGGAAAGACGTGCTGTCTGGGGGATCGTCACAGAACAAAACAAGAAATGGGACTAACCTCCTTTTGCTCCCCATGCTGTCCACTCCACGCCAGTGTTTGAACTGCTTGGCCAACCTTGGGTTTGCTTTTGTGTGCTCTGGCGTGGCCCCGTGCCTCTTGCGTTCCTGGCTGTGCAGGCTCTCATCTGCAACACCTTACCACCCGTGATAGCTTATGGTTGCTGATTATGCCATTCTGCTGGGAAGCTGGAGCTCGGGGTTTAATTAAGAGTCTAGAAATATCACCCACTTCCTTTCTTATGGCTTTATGCATCTTTATGCAAAATGTGGGTGGAAGCGCTATGATCACATACCGCTTCATTAGTGCCAGTCCTGCAGGAGGGACGGATCAGCTGGAGCAAGTGTGGATAGAGTATTACTAGTATTTCCAATGACTTTTCCAAGAGGCTATCTCTGCTCTAACCACAGGCTGTCTTTGCCTGCTGGCTGTGTGAGTTCACTGTTGCAGTCAGCGGAAAGAGGGAAGCACTTGAAGCACCTCAAAGGAAGCAGTCATCTTCTGCAGGTCTTCAGAAGTGCCTCTCGCTGGCCACTGCCTGTATAGGAAAGCTGAGGCAATTAGATTACTACTTTCGTCCCTTCCAGGGCTCAGACACCTAAAATTTCACTGAGGTAATAATGTCTCACTGAGGTATCTAAAGTAGATGGACAAGATTCCAGCCCAAGGACTCAAAGCTTCACAGCTAATGATTGTAAGGAAAAAAAAAAAAAAAAAAAAAAAAAGTGTATCAATAAGAAAAAAAATGACAACTACAGAAAAACAAGGAAAAGGAAGTATCAGTTAAAACTAGGGTGTATCATAATACAGTAATTGAGAAGAATCAAAGGCATAGAGACTTAATGTTATTGTTTCTCCTCCACTTCACATCCCATCAGCCTTTAGAAGAAATAAACGGCACTCAAACAAATCTTCCTCTATCCTTTTATGAATCATGGAGGGTTGGAAATAATTTTAACACTGAAAGAAGTAGTAGGACCAGTAAGAACACAATCTTGACCCATCCGTTGTTCCCCCCTTGGTCTAATTTTTGCATAGCGCTGTCTGAAAAAGGACAGAAGAACATTTATTTCCATGGCTTAAATGTGCATTGATTGATTTTATTATACTAGAAAACCTGAGAAAGCATGGTGTATTTATATAAAGATCGCATAAATGCACTGTAGGCAAGTTTCGCAGTTTAAAGTTACAAAGAGCTTTCATTAGTGCTGTAGTTCTGAGAATAGGCTGTAAAGAGTCCTCAGCATAAAGGAGTCAGGACTTGATTTTTCCTGAGATAAGTTGAAAGAATAATACACCTTTTCTAAACGTCAGTGTTTCTTCTTTCATGTCTTTTTGTGATGCTCTTCCTACCATGGCGTGCATGGCTGAGAACAATATGCATTAAGAACGAAACCTTCATTGATGTGACTGCGTAATGTTGTTTATTATTTATGCTTGCATAACCCGGCGTGTTAATAAAAAGAGAAGAAATTCAGAGATACATAACATTAAATGCTTGTTTTCATCCCGGAGCAACTACAGAGTCTGGTTTGACTTTATGCATATATTTCTGAGAGCAGAAAGCGAGCCAGTTCTGCTGAGCGGTCTGACCTAACGCAGAAGAAGTCGTATTGCTGTGTGCTTTTCTAGAAAGTGAGTTTTTTGTTTTGTTTTGTTTTGTTTCGAGGGGAGGAGGAGGTGACACCCCCAAACCTTTGCGTGGCTCCCCGTCGTCCCCAGAGCCGAGGCGTTACTTACGGGCTGAAATCGAGCACAGGGGTAAAAGCTTCCTCCCGCGGGACCGCTGCTGACAGTTTTAGCTGGGTGCCAGGGCTGAAGCACATCTGTTAGTGGCACAGCACAGCCAAAATCCCCCCCTTGAGCACCGTCGGTCCCTCAGCCCGACCTGCAGTCGGTCACAGGGACCATCAGGGCGGGCTCCCCGCTGCCTCAAGCCCTCGCCGCCTTTACCACGGGCCGAGGGGCTGACACTGCTGCAGGGTTTGGGCTTTGGGGTCCGGTCTCCGCGCTGCCCCCCCACCTCCTCCTCCTCCTCCTCCTGCCCGTCCCTTCCCTTCCCTTCCCTTCCCCCGCCGCACATGCCCAGAAGGGCGGGAGCCGCGGCGCGGCCGTGACAGCGGCGCCTCCCTCCCCTCCCTGCCTGCCTCCCTCCGTCCCGTCCCTCCGTCCCTCCTTCCCTCCCCTTCTCCCTTCCCTCCTCCCCTGCCCTTCCGCTGGGTGGGTGCCGCCGGAGCCGCCCCCGGCCCGCCGCCGGAGCCCCGCCGCGCCACGCAGCCGGCCGGGCGCCTTCCCCTGGTCTCCGCGGGGCGGGAGGAGGCAGCCATGTCGCTATTGTCTGCGCTGCTGCCCCTGCTCGCCGTCTACCGCGCCGGCATCGCCGCCATCCTGCGGCAGCTGGGCCGCCGCCGCCGCTGCCCCCCGCCCGCAGGTGAGCACCGCGCCCGGACGCCGCGCCGGCGCCCCCAGCGCGGAGCCGGGTAGACCTGGCGGCCGGGGCCGCCGCCGCTGCCTCCCCGCCGAGCCCCAGCGGGGCCGCCGCGACCTTGGGGGCGCTGGGGCCGCCGAGCCCCGCCGGGCTCCTCCCCGCCGCCCCCCGGCCGCGGGGTGTGGCGGGGGCCGGGCCGCAGCCGGAGGGCCCCGCTGCGGCTTCGCTACGTTGGTTATTATTATTACTATATATATTTTTTTTCCCTTCCTTCCGGCCGCTTTGCCTCAGAGCGGGGACTGCCGGGTCCGGCCCCAGGTAAGGCGCTGTGAGGCGGGGGGCGGGGGGGGGCTGCCCCTGCCCGGCCCCTGGCCCCGCAGCCCGGGCTGGCAGGAGCCTTCGTGATGGCTGGGGAGCTGCGCTTTCGCTTTTTATCCCTCTCTTCTTTCTATTATTATGATTTATTTTTGGTTCGCAGCATGCTTAGTAACAACTCTTCTTATTTTTATTTATTTTTTATTTTTTCTGTCCCGTAACATTGACAGAGGAAGCTTTGAGTTTGCCAGGAAGCGAAGATCTTGAGTTTCCTCTTCCCTCACGTTGCTGTAGAGGAGGTCAGCTGCGCTTCTGGCCGTAACAAACTTAGGGCCAGCCGCACGGACCCGTACGGCGTCCTCAGACCTCAGCCTAAAACTCCGTAAAGCCAGCGAGTGCCTCTGACTTCCTCCGCTTAGCAGCCAGGGAGCCTCTGTGGAGCTGCTGGTAGCTTTAACAGGAGGGAGGGTGAAGGAAGAGGCAGCTGGCGAGGTGTCCCAGCAGGGAGGTGAGGCAGACAGGAGGTGTCCGGAGCACTGGGACGCGCGAGCTGAGCGTGGTTGTGTGCGTCCCGTCGCACGTGGCCTCGTGGGTAGCGCTTCCTCTCGTTTCCTTCACTCCTGGCAGCTCTGCAGGAGGCTGGGATTCTCCTTTCTCTTTCTCAAAATGCAGGGATGAAAAAGGGAAACAAGCAGAAGAACCCTAACGACAGAGAGGCAGATGTGCATAGAGTTTGAAGTCATCTGAGCATTTTTCTAGCATTAGTTTCTCTTGGCAGAGTAAAACCGGGTATTGTGCCTAGGGTGCGTAACACTTTCCAAATCTTTTTTGAACCAAGGAGAAAGAGCGTGATGAAAACGTGACCCAAGCGTTTTGGTGCTGTTACGTTCTTTACTACTATTAAAAAAATGTTGAATTTGGAAATGCCAGATTAAGGCAGCAAACATACCACCAGGGAAACGTCAGCTGGCCCGAGTAGGACTGGGACGGATTGACAGAACTGGAAAGCTTTCCCTCAGTCCTGACTCGGGGTGGTTCCTTCCAAGGACAAGTAGTTTCCTCCTCGTACAGTTGTTTGTGCGCAGTTGCCTCTTGGCAGTTGCTTGCTGCATTGCTTTGACTCGGTGTGTCTAGCCAGGGCTTCAGAAATGTGCCAGCTTGTCAACAGGAATGTTTTCACCTAGATTAGCCATGTTTTCATGCAGTAATTTCAAAATCGGGACTGCAGCGTGACAAAAAGCTACAGTGTTTATTGCGATATGCTTAATTAAAGCTTGGATCAGTTAACTCAGCTTACTGTAAGAAGTTGCCAAGTAACTTTTCGAGGCAGGAGTCTCAAAAGCATTGAAGTGCCAGTGTTTTGGGCCGCCCGTGTTTCTCCGAGGGGCTGTCCTTAGCTCTCAGAAACGCCCGCGCTCGCTGGCAGCAGTAGCTGCCAGAGGATTTTCCAGGGGAGAGAGGCAAAGGGAGAAGGGCTGGGAAGCGCTGGTGGTGCACGGAGCCACGTCTCCCGTCCCAACTACTCGGCCTCGATTCCCCCGTCCCAGCACCGCGGTCGTGCTGCAGCGCCGGAGCAGCCCCGTCGCAGAGGTGGCACAGCGGAGGGATGGCTGGGAGCTCATCCTCAGGCTCTGTGCTGGTGAGTGAAGGCAGCGACGAGGTATGGTGTAAACCCAGCCCTTCTGTCTCCGAGGCGTGCGGTTAGTTTTCCAAGAAGAGCTTGCTTTCTAGTGCTTACCAGAGATTTTCAGGACTTCAATTCGGAGTGAACCAAACTAGTTCTTTTTCTCTTTCCCTAAACTTAGTCAAAGTTGTGTGCCCTTGGCACACACACTTTATCCTGTCTTTTAAAAGTGATCATCTCTTCTGCCGCATCTTACCGGGCTTCTTCTCGTTTTTATAAATGGGATTCAAGACAGTTTTTTTTTGGGAGAGGGAAAAGTTTGAGTTCTGGAATCTAGATTCAGTGCGAAAAGTTAATAATTGATTTGAGTTGTGAACTGAAAAGATCCAGCTCTTCACTCTGAAAGTGTAGCCACCACCAGCTACTGCCTCCGACCCAGAGCAGGAAGCTTTGTCTGAAGTTCTGGTCTTGGAGCACAGGGAAGGCGAATCCAAAGCTGGGAGGATAAGCGGGGCACAATCAGCGATTGTGCCCTGCTAAGAAAAAGCAGTGTGCAGAAGTAAAGGGGAAGAGGCTATTTATGCTCCAAACAATTTTCCAAGCACGAATCGCAGAGGTGGTGTACCTGCAGGTGGCTGGTGTAAGCTGGGTTAGTTAGTGCCGCGGCGAGACCCTCTGCTGACCCGTGTCGGCAGGGGTGGGCGACTCGTGTAGCCCAGAACAAAAGCAGTCCCCTAGGTTACCAGGTGCGCCCGCTCACGGCAAGCACGTGGCCTCCCGTTCCTCTTCGTGGGACAGGTTCGCACTGTTCTCTTCAAATTGGGTGCATCGACCTGAGACAGGAGAGGCGACACGTCTCGTCCTCAGAGCCAACATAATCAGGCAACACAACGGAGCAGTGATCCTCGGCTTACGATGAGGACACAGGGTTTCAGAGATTGCCCCATGTAGTCCTTCTGCGGCTGGACCAGCACGGGGGGTGTCCCGATGCCATGGCGGGGAAACTCGAGGCTTTGGCTGTTAGTCTCTTTGGGGGGAGAGTGCTAACCAACTGGAGCTTCAGCTGTTGCTTAATGCTTTACTTTTCCTCTTTGATATCTGATTATGCTCTTTGCTTATTGCTGGCAAAAACTAGTCTTTTATTTCTACAATAAATCACTGCAAGTCTGCTATTGCCTCACGTATCACTTCGTTGTTTGGTATCCAGAGAACTCTTGTTGTCTAACAAGTGTTCAGTGGACTAAACAACTTACAGTTTCACTAGAATCTACTATTTCGATGTTCCTTGCAATGCTTCAATTGAAAAAAAAAAAAAAAAAAGTCCTGTTTATATAAAGATCTTGATATAATCAGCTCTTAAAAAAGAAAACTCTATAGAGTGAATTGCTAAAAGATGGACTAACTTTAATTGTGACACCAGGCTATTAACTCTGGAAATGTGGTCACTGAAAGTCGTCTTACTGATGGATTACAAACAGTTTTCATGTACTAATAACTCCTTTTGGAAGTTTAAAAGCTTCTCAAGGAACTTATTTGGCATTTTCCTCCTGCCTTTTGTCTTCTGTATATGTGGTTTGATTGAAGTTTGGTAGGGGAAGACTAAATGCTGAGTGTTCTGCAGTTTGGAAGCCTGAGTAGTTAAGTTTGGTATCTGCGATGTGTAGAAAAAGAGCTTTGACGAAGGCGGCAGTGAGTGAAGTCCAGAAGACCTTAAAGCTGGCCGATAGCCTTCTTTAAAGGGATCGGAATATCATATACATGTATTTTAATTTGCCCCAGTTTCTAGTTAATCAGTATCATAATTTGCACCACATCTATTTATAATTGATCGTGAAATATTAATTTGAGAGCATGCATCTCTTAATTTTAATTCCTGCGCTGAGGGCTTCTGCTTTATATGCCTAAAGCATAAGAGCAGACTAAACACTTCCTGCTCGCAGGCGTACCAACGCCAGGTTTTAAAACATCCAGTTCCAGAGATGGGCAAAGAAACCATCAGGCAGGAAAGATTGATGGTAGGCAAAAATTAACTTGCACCTAATTCTTAATCCCTCTCCCCACGCAGGCCCATCAGAGAGCTGCTGAGGTAGGTTTAAAAGTTAGGAAAGACAACTTTTATGGTTACCTCTGTGCTGAATGAGGCAAGGGTTCTGCCAAAAAGATACGGTGTAATTACAGCCTGTGTCACTGCTGCGTGTGCACAAGGGGGCAGAGCGAAGGTGGCTGCACACCTGGCGTGTCCCAACATCCAAATCCCTGCTTTCACAACCCAGCGCCCGCTTTGGACGTCATTTTTCTGTCTGCCAGTGTGGAAACGGAGCTCCGTCTGCCGCCAGCACAGTGCCTGTGCCCTCCGTCGTGGGGCTGAGCCTTCAGCCTCTGTCCCTGATGACCTCAGGAGGATGAGAGCGGACTGGGGCTGAAGAGCAGGGCTGCGGGAAGCAGCCTGGCCTGGCCCAGAGCATGCCAGGAAACCTGGCCTTCCTCCTCCTCTTCATCTTCCTGATGTCAGCCCCAAGGCCAGCAGATGTTGAAGGGCTGTCCACAGGCCATCAGCGCTGGAAAGTGGTGACCCCAAAACATGACAGTGGTTTTGGCCTGGCTGCATGTGTGGGAGGAGGAGGATGAGGAGAAGGAGGAAGAGAAGGGCAGCAGCTCACAGAATCACAGAATCACAGAATCTCTAGGTTGGAAGAGACCTCAAGATCATCGAGTCCAACCTCTGACCTAACACTAACAGTCCCCACTAAACCATATCCCTAAGTTCTACATCTAAACGTCTTTTGAAGACTTCCAGGGATGGTGACTCAACCACCTCCCTGGGCAGCCTGTTCCAATGTCTAACAACCCTTTCAGTAAAGAAAAGCTCCTCCGAATCCATGCTCTGTTGCAGTGTGGGTGGGAATTCAAGGGAGAAGGCGAAGGTGCTTCCATAGCCTGAAGGCTGTCTGTTCACAGGGAGGGTTTGCAGCAGACCAAAGCAGCCCCGTTTTTTTACAGTGGAAGGGTAGGTGAGCTGAAGGAGAGGGCTTCTGCCAGCCGCCTGTGCGACACGGATCTCTTCCTCCAGAAGAATATACAAGTGCTCTTATTTATTTGTTTTTAACCATACTGCCAGCTAGACTACACACCACTCGAGGAGGGGCAGGGATGATTAGTAGTTTACATTAGAGCTACTATGACGAGTTGGAATTGGTGTACAGCGTTACAACAAAAGCTGCGTTACGCTGACATGTCCTTAACTGTGGCAATGCTGCTCGGTGCCACTAGTGCCAAGTGCCAGACCTATCTAAAACTGATGGTAAAGCTGTAACATCCATAAGAGTGAAGGGTGGGGAGAGTCTGTAACTCTCCCTTGCTCTGAAATAACTTGTGTTTTATCAGTCCGTGATGAACTTTTTATGGTCCCGGGGGTGTCATAGTAATTTTAAATATTAAGGAGGAATCAATTCCATTATTATAGTGCCTTCCTCCTTGCTTTTAGGAACTGCCATGTAATTGCAAAGGAAACTGTAAGATTTAACAAAATGCCAGGAGCCTTTATGCTTTCCAGAGATGCCGTGTCATGGAGTGAAGTGGAAGACACCGAAAGCAATAAGGACACATACTGATAGGACATATCTTGTCCGTAGGCTGCGTGATGCTATAGCAGGGCTACGTCGTTATACATCACACCACGTTGTCATTCAGCATCACCAGTTTTGGTGAGATTGCATACATTGGTGCTGTTAACATGCACATTTTTAGAATTATGCAGCATTATTGCGTTGAATCAATACTTTATCCTGGCAACTTAAAAAGTATTGAGTAAATCACAGTAGAGGGCATATGAGTAGTCAACTCCCTCCACTCCCCCCCAGATTATAAAAGGTTTGCACCCAGAAGTAAATCTTAAGATATCAATAGTGAAAACAAAACAAACAAAATACCCGCCCGGCACATCTCGTGCTAAGTCTAAACCAACAGCTGTGCTTAAATAAATATATTTAGTCTTGGTAAACCTGTCTGGCTTTTCATTCAAGCAGTTCATGACGTGCTGCAAAATACCTTCTGCAGCTCAGAGGGAAAATATTTTTTCTCTGTGATGCTTGTCGACAGAGGAGAACATGCTGGTGGAGCTGCACCCATAAATTTTTGGGGGATGCTCCCCGACAGCAAGTTTGGAAAAGTCAGATGCTTTATTCCTCCCCCAACCAGGTGGTCTTATTGCCCAGGGATTCCCGTGTTTTGGCACAGAGGCAGCTCCTGAGGAGCAGAGAAGGAAGCTGTCACGTTGCTTTCGGGCTGGCTGCAGGAATCCTCTTTCAGTTTCTCTTCTGCCCTCTTCCCCTGGGTCTTCACAGAGGAGGTCCCGGCAGTGCTGGCTGATGGCTTCCTTCTCCCTCCCTCCCCTGGCGAAGGGCTGCTTGCTGCGGCTGGGCTGGTGCTGGGGGAGAAAGGAAGAAGTGTCGGGGTGCAGTTGTGCTGCTGGGTGGCTTTTGGGTACAGGGTAATAAGCTCTGGCAGGTGGCTGCCTGTGCTGTGTGCAGAGACGCTGTAGGCCTCAAATAGTACTTGCATGTGACTGCTCAAGCAGTGTTTTCCTGTGCGGGTATTTAGGTACAGATCGCTAAGCCTTGCCTTCTCACCGTCTTCTCTAGCAGGTTGCCCCCACCCCCATGCCAACTTCTTTAGTCTTTTGAGGAAAGGACGGCAAAATTATTTTCCAGCTGATGTGGTTAATAACTTTTATTAGTGCTTTCCTGACTGCCTTTTCCTGTCATTATAATGCAGTGTTATTCCAGGAACCGAGACTGTGAACTAGCGCTTCAGGAGGTTGCTTTGGTTTCTGAAAGAGAAGGACAGGAAAGGTGTCAGAGGCGTGTTGTTGATCTGCATGCAGGTTCAAATTTTGCTTCCTTTTGTTTCTGTCAGAAAACATCTTTACATTTCAGAGGAGCAGATTAATGCCATAATTTGCATCACAGCTTTCTTTCTTTTTATTTTTTTTTTTTTTTTTTTTTTTTCTAAAGCAAACCCTGGGACAGTTAGCTCCAGCTAACACAGCTTCTTTCAAAATAAACAAACAATAAAACCTTTGCTCCTTTCAGTATCAGGTTTCATTTGAAATAAATGTTTGTAGTGAAGTTCAGAAACCCTTAGGCAAGAGGATGTCAGTCGAGCCCTAACTATAACTGGGGGGGCTAAGGGACAGGAAAACACTATAGCAAATAGTCTGGCTTGTGTGACAATAATGTGTGAACTGTGTGGCAGTTGTTATACTTCCTCTACCGAGAATTATGTAAGTCCAGAAACAAGATTTACTCAGATCTTCTAGCTCAGTTTCACAGCAAAATGTGCTGTATTAAAAACACTTTTTAATTTTTGACATTTTAATGGGCTTCTTGTAGGTCACACTTCCTGCAAATCTCATCTTTAAATTTGCAAATGTAATTAGTAAGGTAGGTTTCTTGATATATATTCAGAGAAACACTGCTTTCACATAGTTAAGTGTGGACAAACTTGTGCTTTCTCATCGTATCTTTATCTTACTGCCTTTATCAGGTACTCATTAATGAGTGAAGGATCAAAAGGTGGGACGGTGGCCAAGAAGCAATGGAGAATAAAAGTTTAGAAGGTTCCCCATCAGACCTAAAGTTAGTGGCTCATCCGAGAGCAAAGAGTAAAGTGTGGAAGTACTTTGGTTTTGATACCAATGCAGAAGGATGCATATTACAGTGGAAGAAAATCTACTGCCGTATTTGCATGGCGCAGATTGCCTATTCAGGGAACACGTCCAACCTTTCCTACCACCTCGAGAAAAACCACCCCGACGAATTCTGTGAGTTTGTGAAAAGCAACACCGAGCAGATGAGGGAGGCCTTTGCTACCGCCTTTTCAAAAATCAAGCCGGAATCATCGCAGCAGGTTGTTCAAGACAGCCTCATCATGAAGACCTACCAGAACTACGAAAACAAAAAGCATCAGGAACTGACGTCCGCAGTCATCAGCTTGATCTGTGAGGGCATGTATCCCGCCTCCATCGTCGACGAGCCCACCTTCAAGGCCCTCTTGAGAACAGCTGATCCTAGGTATGAACTTCCTAGCCGGAAGTATTTCTGTACAAAAGCTATTCCTGAGAAATACAATGCCATTAGAGAAATCGTCCTAAAGGAGCTCACCGACGTTCTGTGGTGCGGCATATCCACGGACATGTGGAGGAGCGAAAACCAGAACAGGTCGTACGTTACCGTCGCGGTTCACTTTCTCAGCAGCAGTCCTTCAAACTGCCTGGCGGTTAACTCACGGTGCTTAAAAACGTTTGAAGTACCGGAGGATAATACTGCAGAGACTATCACCCGAGTCCTTTACGAAACGTTCATCGAATGGGGAATCAATACAAAAGTCTTTGGTGCTACGACAGATTACAGTAAAGACATTGTGAAAGCTTGCTCTCTCCTAGATATTCCAGTGCAGATGCCTTGCTTGGGGCACACTTTTAACGCCGGAATACAACAAGCTTTTCAGCTCCCGAAGCTCTGCGGCCTTCTTGCCAGGTGCCGAAAACTGGTGGAGTATTTTCAGCAGTCTACCATGGCGATGTATATGCTGAGCGAGAAGCAGAAGCAGCAGAATATTCTCCACTGCATGCTGGTGAGCGATCGCGTTTCCTGGTGGGGCAGCACGCTTGCCATGTTGCAGCGTCTCAAGGAGCAGCAGTTCGTCATCGCCGCCGTTCTCGTGGAGGACAGCAACAACCACCACCTCATGCTGGAGGCCAGCGAGTGGAACACGATCGAAGGGCTGGTGGAGCTGCTGCAGCCTTTCAAGCAGGTTGCGGAGATGATGTCCGCTTCCAAGTACCCAACAATCAGTATGGTGAAGCCGCTTCTCCACATGCTTCTGAATACCACCCTGAACATCAAGGAGAACGATCTGAAAGAAATCAGCATGGCGAAGGAGGTAATAGCGAAGGAGCTGTCAACCACCTACCAGCACACCCCGGAAATAGACATGTTCCTCAATGTTGCCACTTTCCTGGATCCTCGTTACAAAAAACTGCCTTTTCTTTCCGCCTTTGAGCGGCAGCAGGTGGAAAACAGAGTGGTGGAAGAAGCAAAAAGCCTGCTGGAGAAAGTCAAAGAAAACACCTTTCGGACTGAAGAAAAGTTCTTCGCGGTTTCGGAGGAGCCCCCGGTGAAAAAAATAATTATCTCCTCCACTCCTCCTCCTACTAGCGTGATCAACAACATGCTTGCAGAGATCTTCTGCCAGACGGGGGGTGTGGAAGACCAGGAGGAATGGCACGCTCAGATTGTTGAGGAGTTGAGCAACTTTAAGTCTCAAAAGGTCCTTGGTTTGAATGAAGACCCGCTAAAGTGGTGGTCTGACAGACTAGCGCTGTTTCCAGTTTTACCAAAGGTTCTCCAAAAATACTGGTGTATTCTGGCCACAAGGGTCTTTCCCGAACGCCTTTTTGGTTCTTCTGCTAACGTTGTCAGTGCAAAGAGAAACCGGTTAGCCCCAGCGCACGTGGACGAGCAGATCTTTTTGTACGAAAACACTCGGAATGGGTCCGAGGCAGAACCGGAGGATGAAGACGAAGGAGAATGGGGTTTGGAACAGGAACAGATTTTTAATTTAAATGACTCGGTAAACGTAAACAACAATTTCTTTAATATCCGAGACAGTGGGTTTGTTTAACAGGACTACTGTGGTACATTTAATAACAAAGAAAAAGGTATTTGTCTTAAGTTACCAAAAATACTTCTGTTTATGCTATGAATGCTGTAAATATTGAACAGTTGTAACAAACTTGATTTAGCTTCCATTGTCTATGTTTTTCCCACTGTCTTAAAACATCAATGAGTTGTGATTAAACAGCACTGAAATGAACGAGGAAATAAATGCTACAAAGATCGTGATTTCTGACTGTGGCCCAGATCTCAGAGAGCACTTAGCCATGTGCTTCCTTTCCGCTTGCTTCAGTGGGAGGGAAACACATGCCTATGTGCTGTCTGTAATGAAAATATTTTTCCTGAATCAAGACCCTGAGCAAGGGACTTTTAAAGTTCTATGCCTCCAATTATAAATCCCACTTGATTTAGGGCGTTAGCTTTAAATTTTGGATTTTAAAATGTTATTCTTGAATTCCATTAATCAGAGCAGCAAAGACTTTTAGAGTATGTCAATGCTATAGAATGAAAAAAAAGATCTTGAGCCTGATTTTCTTTTTCACTACCTCATATCTTAGGCCTGGTCTGTGCTAGATGAGATCAGCTGGTGTAATTCTGTCACTTAGGGGACTATGTTACTACTTTCACCGCTGTCGCGCTGGCATAGGCCGTAGTGTGGATGCACCTCCACTGGGGCAATTTATTCGGCCTTCCAGTGCGGTATAAATGGTATAAACGCTTCCAAACTGGTATGGCTGTGTCCACATCGGTTGGGTTTTACCGTGGAGCTGTCGCAGCTAAATGGCAAAACCCCTTTTTGTCCGGACGAGCCCTGGCAGTAGCACGCGGGGCGCGGGCGGGTGGCAGCCTACACCCAGGAGCAGAGCAGCGAAGGCAGGAGGCGTGCCAGGGCCACGGGTCTAACTCTGTGTGCGTGTGTTATAACGTGCTTAACCTTTTAATTTAAGTGGGCGCTTCGCCCAGGGTAGCTAGGAAGTTTTGTTGGTGAGAAAAGCAGAATAAAAAGCTTTAATATTATGTAAATATATTTAAAGGAGGGGGACCCCTCCGTTTCCCTACACGTATCCGGTGAGTCTTTAGGATTGTTTCTTGTTACGTTAGCACTTAAAAACTTTTTTTTTTCTTCCTGTCTCTTTTTTTTCTTTTTTTTTTTTTTTTTTTTTTTCAGTTTGTAGAGTGGACTTTAGTCTGGTCCAGTCAAATGTTTGAGTACTGTTTCCGATTAGTTGTTGTGTATTGCAATTGTTTCCTTTGTGTCTCTAGACCTAAAAGTTTTCAGCCCTTTTAAGAACTTGGTTAAAAAAAAAAAAAGAAAGAAAATGAAAAAAAAAAGTAAAAAAATATCCAACAACCAAAACCCCACATTTCTTAGGAAATACTGCTGGTCATAAACACGATGCTAGTTCACATGTGGCACAGAGTGGGACGGCAGCCAGCATTACTCTGTGCAGCACGGAGGAGGGATCCTGTCACTGCCCAGTGACAGCTGAGGGTTGATGTTTTTTTGTGGTGGGCATCTTGTCCCTCACTCAAAATCTCCCAGCTCAAACTGTTCTGAGAGGGTCAGTCTCACCTGTTCAGATGCCAGCCTTTCCCATCTGTCCATAAAGTAGTCAAAAAATTAAGTGAGGCAAATTCTGGAGCTCTCTTCCCAGCTGTGAAGAGCGGACTCCAACCTGCTCCCCGGCGGTGGTCTCAAATGACCCTGCTGCTAGAAACGTGTGAGGTGTCTAGGGATGGGAAAGGCCATGGCTGATTTAGCATGTTTGTGTAAGCACAGCCCTTCTGTAGAGAGGCCAGTGGAAGACTGGTCATAACCATTACCGGGGAAGAAGTCTTGACTTTTTTGTCCCTGTGGCATCCACAGACCTGTAGAGAGGGCCTGGCCAGCAGGAACATGTGAAAACGGGAATGACGCTGGAATTGAATATACTACCAAACTGCTTGTTTATGTCCTGGTCGGGTAGTTTTTGCAGGTGTCAGACCTCCCTCCGTGTGTGGCAGGAAGGGGTGTGTGGATGCGCTGCAGCGGTGGCTGCAGTTGCCCAAGATGCAGCACGAAGGCTCGGCACAACAGACCCATAGGCTGTCTACGAGGGCCTCAAAGTCGAGTCGAGGAAGGGAGCAAGGTGCAGAAATGGTTTTAAGGCCCTGCGAGCACCCGCCGTGCCCAGTTTCACCACCAAGTGCTGCCAGGGAGCTGCAGGACACCAGCGTGAGGCATGTGCGTCGCCCTCGATGCCAGGGGCTGCAGGACGAGCCTGGGGCAGCGCCTCATCCTCATGGGGCGGAAAGCACACAGTGAGGCTTATGGCTTGGCTCGCTCCTCACCCAGCTGTGCTGAGAGCAGTGCGATGCACTGTTCTCTCCCTCCTAGCTTCCCTTAGTTATATAGATATTTTTTTTGGTATCCAAAATAAAGCTGTAGTTGGTTCAATTGAGAAGTCTTGGCATTCTCTTAAAAATAAAAAAAAAAGGGGGGTAGGGGAAAAACAAAGCCATTGTTAGTTCTACCCGTTGTTTGTGAGATTTTTATTTAATGTTCTAAGCTTGGAATATTGTTAAATAAAACAGAAAAATAAGTTAGTTACTAGAGTATTTGTCTGATGTGTGTTCGTATCTGCAGCACTTTATGACTTTGAACTCTTCCGCAACAAGGGGAGGTTATATTCTAAGGTTTTGAAGCTATGCATTTATTTTCCTTTTGATCCTGTAAGTTATTAAAAAAAAAAAAAAAAAAAAAAAAAGCTGTATAAATCTTTTGGATTAAAAAAATATGACGATGAAAAACGTCAGAAGTTTAGACAGTTTCTCTTGCTTAAATATGTGTGGTGTTTTTTATTTAACAATATATTCTGTTGGTTGGTTGGGTGGAGAAACCAAGTTGCAGAGCTATTTTAAATATTGCTACAACGGGAGTTAAGTTGTTATTGCCAAGGGTGGGCCTGGGATGCATTTCCAAATTATGCTATTAAGTTAGATTTATGTTCATGTTTCTTGACAGCTAATTTGAATCCAAAGTCTGATGTCTCCATTTCTTTCTGGTACAGCTGAGGCATCTTTTTGGAGGGGCAATAGATAGACTTCAACTTTTGTGTACTTTCATGCTGGAAAAGTGACTTTTTAAATGTTTTCAAAATGCATACTTTAAGTCCAAAGAAGAGGAAATACCTGTTGCCACAGCTACGTGTTCCCAATTCAGGGTTACAACTCGAGGGGTTAGGTGCGGGTTCTTGTGACCAACAACGTCACTGAAAGGAGTTTTCTTGAATGACCAGTCTTGAGAGGCATTTGACCTTTGTACCACCAGGATTTATGATGAAGCCAAAAGGAACACACAGAACCAAACTGAGGTTGAAAAGGTGAAATTTTCCAGCAAATTGTATTAGAGTTTCCTTAGTTTAAATTAAGTAAGGACATAAATTTTTGGATTATTTGCAGAAAGGGCACGTTAATTTAAGTTTCTGTTGCAGCAACGTATCAAGGATATTGCTGAAATTAGGGCTCCGTCTTGCCAAGGCTCCTTAATAAAACGTTTCCTGCCCCCAAGTGAATATCTTAAAAAACCCTTCAGAGCAGTGGAGCTGGAGATACCTGCAATCTTTTTCCTGTTTCGTGGTAACTTCATTTCACCCAGTGAAGAAGAGCTTGGCTGCAGGAGTCAGTGTTGCTGCCCACATCGCCACAACCCACTGCCACCAACCCGACAGAAACACAATAGGTGTAGCACATGATATTCTATCATTTTTATACTCCAGGAATCTGATGATGTTGGCCTGCTTGTTTTAAAGTTGGAACTTTTCCTTTAGTTAATATCAGCGTGGTCCAATTAGCTGCACAGAAGCATTTGCATGCAGGCAGGAGTATGAAAAGCAAAAGAAACCGATGCTGGTTGCAGTACTCTGTAGGACCCCTGACGGCGTAGGAGTTAGATGTAGTTCTGCATGGCTTTGTCCTTTCTGCGGCAAAGCTGAAAAAGAAGGGACTGGTTAAGGACATCGTTTTGGAATGAGAAGATGTGGATTTTAACATACAAGTTGCAGATTTTACGTATTCCATGACAGTTGGGTAAAGCATGATTTATACAGGAAAGCATGATTTATACAGGAAAAAATGCATTTTCATCTCCACACGACTTAAGTCTGTGGTCTCCGTTTCTGTATGTGCCTCTTGGAGGAAAGTCTCCTGAAGAGCGGTGGCCTGGCTCTGTGGGCACAGTGCTGTGTGGCACAGGCTGTCTTTTTGGTACACTGGCAAGACTCTTGTGCCTTGGCTCCTTGGGAGGTTTAGGCGTTGTGGCTGTTCCTTTTTTCTTTTTGTTTGTTTTTGTTTTTGCAGGCCAAGACTGAATAGTCTGTGTGGTCATACTTCCTCCAAACTACTGGTCGTCTGCCATATTCAAGATGTGTTTGTGTTTTTAGGAGATGTAGGGAAATTACAGATGTTGTTTTTATTCTTTTAATAAAATTACTATTTGGTGCTGTGGATAGAAGTTAACGATACAATGCAATTTTATGTCTGCCTTAAAAGCACATCAGTAGAGCCCTTCTGAAGACTTCATAGTTTTGAAACTGGAATTCAAGACATGCCTACAGTTGCTGTGTAATTTTCCATAAAAAGCATTTCCTTTAGGTTGAACAACAAAGATCGATCAAATAGATCTGTACTGTTTCTACAGTCATTCTCAGTGCTGCTGGAGTTGGGTTAAAATGCTACAGAGGAATTAAGTTTACCATGAAAAGACAAAGCATCGTCTTTCAGCTTAACTTGTATTTTAAAAACTTCTTCACCGAGAAAATTTAATTTGGATCTTTAAAAAAATATAAAGGCTGTTGTGGAAACCGTTTTCAAACAAGATGTCCTCAGACTCTGAAATGTTAATATTACAAATTTGGAGCGTTTATATTGACATTTCTGTGCAGGGTGCTATTGATTTACCTTGCTGCTGGAAGAAAAGGTTACTGCTCAAAAGAGTGACGCTTCCATCTGCCATGCTTTGAAGAGGTAATCAGACGTAGCTCTGGTATTTTGTTCAGAGAAGTTGGAGAGGCTATTGCCGGCTGCACATGGATGCTGCTTTCCATGCCTTTCAGCTGGTACTTACTTCCAGTGACTTCAACCCCCCACTGTATATTTTTTATGCTCCTCTGCCTCTGTTCCAGCTGTGTAAAGGATGCTTGCAGAGGCGTGCGGCCAGTGGAAGATCTATTTCATTTCCACTTCGAACATGTGCTGCTTTAGCAGCCTGTTCTTGTGCAGGAATTCACTTACATTGGTACAGAGTAAAGCTGCAGTTCCTCCTTGATAGATATTTTTGGGAAAACATTTGCAGTGGTTTTACTGTTTAGACACTGTTGCCAGAGGCAGACTGTCAGAAGCAGGTCTGGGTATTTTTAAGGATACCAGAGGCAGACGAAGGTAATTTTATTTGAAAATAAAATAAGAAATGTTGCCTTTATTAACACTCTTAGGTAGAACACTAATTAAAATGCACCCATAGATGTTTGTGATAGTATTATAGTTTATCTAGTTACATCCGTGGAGAATGAACATCCTCGGCTTACTGAGTGCACTGCAAGTCTTTCTGTATGTGTCCATAGCAGCATGTGCACAATGTCACGTTGAACTGTGATTCCCTAAGCAATGCAGAATAAGGTTATTATATTTTTTTAAAGTAGTTTCTTTTATTGCGTATGATTTTTTCAATATGTCATTTCCCCAAAATACTTGCAATCATAAATGAGAAATTCGTCTTTTATTTCTCTGATGGATGCTGATTTGCTTTTAAATTTTACACATTTTGTATCACTGTGTTTTGCTCTGCTTTTGTAGACACCATGACTGAAAGGGTTTAAATCTCTGTTTTCATTGGTGTGCTTTTTCTCATGAGTCATTGGTGAGGTTTACAGTGGTAGGATTTTAGAGTCCTAACAAGTATGGTGTCAGGCTGGTGTCAGGAAATCTCATGCCAGAAACATCCAGCCCCATGTCAGAAATGCTGTGTTCCAAACGAAATCTTTATTTTCTCAAATGTAGTTTTCTGATGTGTGTATTTGAGAGAGAGAGTGAAAAATAAAGTGCTTTTACAAACAATGCCCTGTTCTGTTTTATGGGTGCCAGTCGAGTTTGCTCCGAGTTAGTGTGATGGGCACACTGAGTGGTTTAGCCCCAGACTTGTGTTTCTTGAGCACACAGCAGAACTTAGATGAACAGAAAGAACCTAATCACCACTGAATCTAAAAAGCTCAGTTGCTGTATTAATGAGAACAAATAGGAAGTGGGTACACCTTGCTTCTCTGTTCAAGCTCAGGGAAAGAAAGAGGGTAGTGGGAAAAATAACGGAACTGCAATCTGAAGTTCCTACGGTTTTTATAATCTAGCGTGGCACATGTGAGGTTTTCAAGGACAAACCTGTAATTTTGAGAAGTAAAGCAGTTCTCTTTCATTGACCTACATGTCAGAGCCGTAGCGTTACTCCACACATGACAGTTGCTCTCTTTTATTACACTTTTCCATATGAGAGCTTGTAAGGAAGCTGTCTTTACTCATTCTGTGTTTCTGTTCACATAGGCCCTCTGAAATTGGGACTACATTTAAAGATATGAAATCACTAATCTGCTCATAATCTGTCACTTCAGATCTGCGTAAAACAAATGCTTTGCACACTTCTTGGTGTTTTCATGCTGCTGCTGGCCATAAACTCTGCCACCCCCAAGCACTGCTCCCTGCAATGGCAACAGAGGGTTTTCAGGAAGAAGATAGGGGGAGCAAGGGAAGAGCAACTTCCTGTTGTAATCAGTTGTTTTAGCAGGTGAAAGCCCAGAGTCAATGGCTGTTTCCAAATGATACTTTGCACAACTTCCCTAGTTGACCAAAGAGATGTATTCCCAGGCATCACATCAGAGACCTCACTGCTGGTGATAAATCTGGGAGGCTTTAAGGGAGCGAGCGCTATAGGGAGATTGAGCTAATCTTGGGATGAGCTGATAACTTGTGCTGAGCCTGTTTGCAGTACGTATATTTTCTTGTCTCTATTTTCAGCCCCGTTTTATTTCCTATGCAGTGAACATGTACATTAGTGCTAGGGTTGGCTGTGAAACACTTATATTCAAAATACAGGAGTAGAAAAATATTATCCGTGTACTTTTAAGACATGGTAAAAGTAGGTGGAAGTTCACGTGCATTACACGTGGTTTTCCAACTGTTTTGCATGAACAGTAGGATGAGGATGATACTGAGCTTACTCTGTTACGTAGCGTTATGGGAGGAAAAATGGCATTGCTGCTGGGAAACAGCGACCTTGTGAGTGTGGAGCAATCCTCAGGTGAATCTAAGGTGCTCAGATTGTCTGAGTCTTTGGTAGCCTTACAAACAAAACCAGCACCTTTTTCATGCCCTGTGCTTCCCGTCCCACCTCCCCTTCATTCCTTCAGCTGATGTTCAGCTGATGGTAAGATTGCAGAGTTCTTCCTGGAGAGGGAAATTCACAGAGAGGAGGAGAAACTATTTGTCAGTTGTTAAGAGTATTGCATATACTTTTTGCGCCTTTTTTGGCAAACTATAGTAGAGTTGATGGAAGATAATTTCTTTGTATTTATTTATTTATTTATTTATTTATTTTTACCCAGAGGCAGGATCTGAAGTAGCTTGTAGTACGTGTAGACTGGTGAATTCTTCCTCCAGTGCCTGGTTTAGCTCAGTCTGCAACTTTTTGTCTGTTCGCTCTGCTTCTTTAGGCTGTTTAGGAGATTTGCTACACTCTGCAGAGGGGATACAGATTCTTCCGTCATGTTTTTGCTGTGTTTTTGTGTTGCTGGGGCTGCTTTCTGGTCTGCACTTGCTTGAAGGAAGGAGATGGGTCAGGGTGTTTCCTGTGATGCTATTCCTGCCTTCGGCTGGTGAACCGTCCTCAGAAGAGGATCAGGCAGATAACAGCGCTGCTGAGTGATCAGTTTGCAAGCTCCAAGGCTACAAATGATTCATTCTTTCATATTCATTCTGAGGCTAAGATCAAGATGTTGCACAATGTGGCCTAAAAACTATACTTCCAACCCTTGGCATTTCAGAAAACGTAGCTCCTGGAGTTAGTTGTGCAAATATAGATTTAGGGATTTAGTCCTTAAAGCAATACGTTTTGTATGCTCTGCCTTCTGAACCACTTGAAATACTTGCATCCCAGGTATAACTCTCTTTAAATATCTTTTAAGTAATGGTAGTTTGATGTAGGTTTTGTACGCAGTGCTTTTTTAGATGCAAAACCCAAATGGAAGTGGGCGATCTTTAAGGTCCCTTCCAACCCAAACCATTCTGTGATTCTAAGGCATATAGGGCAAAATCTAACATTATGAGGGGAAGGTTGGGTGTCTGTGAAGCTTAGCAGCTGAAGCACAGTGAGATTTCAGAGCTAGGCAATGCATCACGTTTGTGCTAGTAGGGCATTTTGGTGTAAAGATGGGCAGATGGTATCTTGCAAAGGACAGTAAAGTGCTAAGCTGCTCCTTTCCTCTGCGTAAATTCCCTGTTCAGCATCACTTCTTCCTGTTTCCTTTCTGATCATATACTTCTTTTTTCCTCCTCCGTCTTTTCCTTATGGTGCTATTTAATATTTCTGATTTAGAATTAGTTGACTATGGGCTTCTCTCAGAATTTCTGGGTCTCCCCCATCCCCTTTGTTCTAGTGTAAGTCTTACATGACTGTTGGTTTCATGTCAGCCCTATGCCATTACACATGATACTTCACCCCAAGCATAGTATTCAGTTGGGTAGTTGGAAACTTGGGCAGTAACTCGGTATCTCTTGTTTTGGGGGGCTGCTTGGGGTAGGGTCTGCTCATTTGAGTCGTAGAAAAAACTTGGTTAGCATTAAGCTAATGCTGCAACTCCAAACCAAACCAAACCAAACCGTATAAAACCAAACCAAACTATGAAGTGTAGTTGATCTGTAGCACCGTGGGAAGGGTTGTTCTCCAGCTTCCATCCACCGCACACCATCTGGAGGCACCAGAGGTTGTAGAAGTGCAGCTGGTGACCGCGGAGGCTTGCTGTGGGGGCAGCGGCGTGGGTGGGGGTCTGCAGTCACACAAGGGCCTTGTGTGGACTCCAGCAAGAGTCTGCATGCGTTGGGCAAGTTGCACAATCAGAAATCTTAGTTGGTGTAGATGTGAGCGCTGAAGCAGCCCAGTAAAATTTTGCAAGGCCGGAAGAGAGAAGGAAATGGCTGCAAACCCATGGTGCTATTCTTAGAGATCCTTCTGTAGTTGAACTGTAACATGGCAGCTTATTTACAGCATTCAGATGCTGTCCCCTGCCAGGAAAGGAAGGGAATGGGTAAGTCCTTTACCTGGGCTCGGGCACCCAGAGCTGGAGTAATACTGAGGTAATGTGGGCACTGACATGAAATTCTTGGTTCAGATAGGTTATGATGCAACTTTTAACGCATTGAATAAATAGGGCCTTATGGAATATTTTGGTGTCTTTGTTATTTGGATTATGGGGTTTTTCCTTGCCTTGCGGACAGAACAGGATTCAAGATGTGGGCAGTTATGGAGTAAAAATGTAATAATTACACGTACATATCCCCCTCCCCCCCTGCCATTTTTGGAAACTGGGTGTTCTCGGTTTCAAGTTTTCCATCCTTGCAGTTTCTAAATTACACATACAGTTATTGACACTGATTTTTGGTTTGTGGCTTCATCATAGTGTTTGAAATCTAATCTACTGTTTTGGTGCAACAGAGCAAGGTTTAAATGGGTTTATCAACAGCAAGAAAAAAATACTTGAAAGCTACCATTCCTGAAACAAATAATCAGGAAAAAAAATAGT